AATTTCTTTTATAATGGCAGGAAGCCAACTTAATGCAGCCGTGGGAGAGGGGAAAAGCAGTCCTTTGCGTTCCCTCTTGGAATTAACTGCAGGCACTGTGCTCCTAGCTTGTTTATGTTTTAACTTTGGATTCAGAGTTTGAAAGGTTTCGTGACTGTCACTCTATCATATTCCTTAGATCAAGGATGGCTGTTTCCCCTTTGGAGATAATCAAGCTGAAGAGAGACCAACAGATTTATTTCTAAAACCCGCTACAGTTTTACAGGGTCACATAATAGCTGTCTTTATCCCAGTCCTGCTGTTCTTGCAAAAGGCTGCTACGCTAGGTAAGGAGTATTACAAAGTGTGGATCGTTAAGTTACTCAGAGCATGCAACGCAGCTGGGTATGTAAGCATGCTTGTTTAAAGTCCGTGGAAGCCTCTAGCATTTATGACAAGGATCCATGAACACAGACTAGTCTCTGGCAATTGCATTCACTGGCACAACATAAACTCATGGTGCGATACCAACCCGGTACTGTACTAAAATCATGGCGGGTGAAGAAGAGCCCTCGAGGATCAAGTCTTTAAAAAAATGCATGGGGGTGATTCGACTCCCAAATCTCTGAATAAGAAGTTCTCAGAGACCAAAGGCTTGCTTCAAAAATATACTAGGTTTTCATTTTCTCTTGTCTTCATTAACATAATGAAATACTTTTCTTCTTTTTCTGATAGTTGATGCTCCCCCCTCACTAGGACCTGGTGGTTCTACCCTATTCTTTCTGAACCCGCACTCAGGTTTGGCTTTCTGGTCCCAGGGAGCCCGTGATTGTCTTCTGCTCATCGTCTTTCAAACTCATGATGAGGGATGCCTGGTGTCACCACCACGTCCCTTACCATCAATACACATTCTGGACAGCAAGGGTCACCGCCACCTCCTTCCCTTGGCTTGTGGGCTCCATCTGGGCTGCACGGGGGAGGAGCACTTTCCAACAATGCTGGATCACAGGCTGTCTTCACCATAAGTTCAACCAAAACACATTCAAATCCCGGGGTGCTACCAGGTTTCCAGAAGTGGTGCTTCCCTCCAAAGATGATCAATCTCGGTCTCCAGCAGAGTCTTGCATTTCCTTAGGGGCGATGAAACCTGAAAACAAGAAATGGAAACCCCATGAGTCGGTGACTGGGAAGTGCACTCTGCAACCAGCGAACTGAATGCTTATAATTCAGTGCACTCTTGGCCACCCCACAACGGAATTACTCTGGTACATGGCTATTATAGCCAAAGATGCTTAGAGATGTTATGATGGAAAGCAGTGCAGCCCTTCTACCAAAGGTGCTGGCATAAATGCATCCAACCACAACACATCAGGAGTGTGAGATGTTTCTTAAAGTTCTTGATTATACCGGGTCTAAGTAACAAACCCAAATTCACTGTCACTGAGTCAATTCGACTTAGAGCGACCCTATTGTACAGAGGAGAACTGCCCCTGTGGTTCTGAGACTCTAAGTCTTTAAAGGAGCAGAAAGCTTCCTCTTCCACCCCCTCACCCCCAAACCCACAGGGGCAGCTGGTGGTTTCAAACTGCTTGTTGGTAGTTATAAAATAGAAACACCAATAAACAGTCTGCCACGTTAACGTTAGCCTGTCATTGACTGATAACGCCACATGGTTCTACATCTGAATTTCCATTGCCTTCGGGGAATTGCCAACATGATGTTCCCCAGGTAAACTATGAAGCGAGTCCACCATTTTTCTTGAAAACCTGCTTCTGCACTTTGTATCTTGATTAAGGTTCTGTCTTTGAACATATTAGGAACCTACATTTCGATCACATTTTATAAAAGAATCGGGGGGAAATGCACAACAGAATTCAAGTTATCACGGAAGCCAGAACTTCTG